CCTCCATAATCCAATCCAAATCCATATAGAAAACATATAAATACTTACATACATATATATATATATATATATATAATATAAAGTATATCTATCAAATAGCTCACTATTTCCATGGCGTTACAGTTGTCACCGATATTTTGCTTAAAACGTTGAAAAAGAAAATGGTTATCGTAAATAGAGTTGGGTACGAGATTGATTACGTGTGTAGGGAAGGTGTTAGGCATCCGACAACACCTAATATTAGTACCCTATAACTTATTCATTAATAAATTAAAGCGAAGATTACTATTTTTACCCCTTTATTAAGCATGTAATGATAAATTATCTACATGGCATCTATTCTAAACTATATTGAAACCTCTGAAGAGATATTGAAACCTCTGAAGCAAGCTTTATATCAAAATAAATAAAGGCACTTTATGGAAGCCTCCTCGCTCTACAATAGCCTCGCTTTCTTTGGAAAATTTAAACTGGAACCTCCGAAATCTCCACCAATGGGCTTAGAGATTTCTTAATTAGACAATAGACTAAGTTTATCTCACTCAGAGTATTGTAAAAGGAGTCAAAAAAGAAAGGGAGTGTACTAATTTCTAGAATTAGAGTGTGTTTCAAGGGGGGTTGACCTCCTTATATTGAGGTCAAAGGGTTGGAACGATTTTTCTTCTTGGAATGACCGTTCTTACCCTATTTTTTGCATAAAAATTTCCATTTGGAATGGCCATACTCCTCATGAGAATGGTCATTCTCAGAGACCATGATTATGCCCGTTCCAATGAAGAGTATGGTCGTTCTCATGGGTCTCAAGCTTGGTTTCTTATTTCTAGGCTTAGCTCTTGGTTTCTTGACCCTTGGAATGTCTCCTAGTTCAAAAGCTGATGGAAACTTGCTTTGGAACCGGATTGATGTTGATTCCTCTTCAAGTTTCTCCCTAGACCTTTGGCTCCTTGATTCTTCTCAAGCTTTCCCAAAGCTTCCAATGGAGGAGAAGCTTTGAATTTCACCAAGGTTTGGTGAAGACACTACAATAAATAAGCTAAATAGTGGAGGTTTTTTTTACGTTTAGTGGAGGTTTTTACCCTCCGGAAAATAAATCGCAGAGGTTTCTAAAAACCTTCCCACAATTACATTCGCCGCAAACAATTAGCGGCGTTTTTTAGAAACCTCTGGTATTATGAGTGTTTAGCGGCGATTTTTTTAAAGGAGGTTTTAAACCTACACTAATAGTGGAGGTTTTTTAAAGGAGGTTTTAAAGCTATGCTAACTGTAGAGGTTTTTTAAAGGAGGTTTTAAAGCTATGCTAATTGCAGGGTTTTTTTTTACTTGAGGCTTTGAAGTGGAATAACAATAAAGATTATTTAGTGGAGGTTTTAAAGTAAATTAACTATTACAATCATTAATCAATATATTTTTGTGGAGTTTCTAATCCTCCCTATTTTCTTGTGTATAATAATTTTTATACTCATTTTAATTGCATAATCTACATGTATTACAATTTCCCATTTTCACTTTTGATATTTATAAGAAACTTAATGAAAAAAAATACACATAAAATGGATGAATAAATTTCATTACTAATAACCAAAAACACAACATATAGTTCAAAGATTTATAATTCAAACTTCTATTATAAATTCAAGTACAACATAAAATCCATAACAATGTCAAATTAGCCTCATACTAAACTTCAAATCCAAAGTACATTATATGCAAACTAAGGGTTGCTAGCACCAGATGATCCTCTTGCATCCAAAGGTGTATTAGGAACACTTGAAACATCGTTTGGCTGAAATAAGAAAAGAAAAAACACTCAGTCAAGAAAAATATATATCACAAATATTATATGATAATGACAATTCCAAACACCCATGACTATATTAGCCAAGGACCAAAACAGACCAACCAATTAATGTAACCAACAACATAACCCATAGTTAAAACTAGAACTACAGACCAACAACTCCATGAAGCCAAAACCATAATAGCAACACCAAACCAGAGATGTGTAGCAGCCAACTAGTTCCCAACCCAACAACCAAGGACTAAGAGTAGTCCATTCAGACTCTAAACAACCAAAACTAGAACTCAACCAACAAAACATCCAACCAAACCAAAAATTGCAATAAAAATCATATTGCAAACCATGCAGCCAAATATTATAAACCAACAAAGCAACCAACCAAACCAGAAATTGTAGTAGAAATCATGCAACAAACTATGCAGCCAAAGACCATGAACCAACAAAATAACCATTCTAACCAGAAACTACAGTAGAATCATGATATAAACCTTGCAACTAATGAGTATGAACCAACAAAATAGCCACCAATACCAAAAATTGCAGCAGAATCATGCTACAAACCATGTAGATAAAGATACCACACATTATATAATAATGTATGCACATTAATTACTTACATGTGTTTCAGGAGTGAAATAACTAGCTAATTCTTCAGGGATCCTTCCTTCTTTCATTATCATGTAGGCCTTAAAAGCTTATTCTAAATTGTTGTATTTCACTTGCCATTGATTTAAAGATGGAAAGGCAACACTAGATGAAGAAGAGCTCAAGCTAGAAATGCGAAGTCTTGTATTCCTAAATGTATTAGAAGGAACAACACCCAATCCCATGCATCGTACTCTCCCGTAGTGCTCTGGCCCTAGCACTCTACCAACAACATCTAGAGGAGAAACTTCATACTCATCAACTATGCTTTGAGTCAAACCTACTTTAATTTGTTCCTACAAACTTGTAATAAAATCAAATATAAAAAAGTTTTAAGATTAAACACAATCCTTGATATCAATGTTTCTAAAGAAAAATTTACCACTATAGTCTTTGCTGCATCATTTACAAATGATCCATCTTTCCTTTTATGAGTTTCAATATATAATTTTCCACGACTTGGTATCTTCCCTGTTTCTAGCAACTAAGATAAATAAAGAGTGAGTAAATATTGAAAATTTTTTAATTAGTAAACTTAACATTTAGTGTCATTACCAACTCATTTCTTCTTCTAGGATTAGCTTTGGAGCCACCAGTGTGTGGAATAACTTGCTTGGTTCAAATTTCTTTATTTCTCTTACAAAGTTCCTATAGGAAAAGAAATTAAAACTTTTTAACTTCACATAGTAATCATATAACTAGCCAAAAAAACAAATTAATATTTAAAACAATCAAATTTGTACCAATGTTGATGGTTTTTGACGATAATGAACAAAACGAGCCCATTGATCTTTATCTATGCCTATCGGCACATTTCTTACGATTTCATCTCTTGTTTAGGTTGGATCATTGAATTCATTCCACAAGCTTTGCCTATTTGCAGCCCATTTCCTTCCCATACTCATTTTGCAATACCGTTTTGCACTAGCTTCATTAATCTAAAAATAAAATCGAGGCTAAAAAAAGTAAAAATTTGTCAATATCATATCAAATTTAATCTTGCATAAGCAAAATAATAGAGAATATATGCAAACAAGTAAAGATAGAAAAAATATAAGCAGTGTAGAAATAACAAATTATATATGACTAATTATCATACCTTTAAAATTGTTTCAAAGCAATCATCAAAATAAGCTTTAGGTACGCCTGAAGGTCCAGACCACCTATCATAATCCATAGGAAATAACTTGCAATCAGCAGCCAATGTTCCAAGAAATCCAGCAAGCAAGGCTTGTGCTTCACCAATTGCTTGGCCTTGGTCATCAAAATCCACAATGATTCGTAACTCCCTAAGTAAGCTATTGACTCCCCTAACTTTCACCTTAATCTTCTTAACAGTGTCTTCAGAGTCTTAAACAATAAAAGAAATTAATAATACGAAACTTTGATACAGTTTATATTATAATAATTATAAGTGAAAATACAATACTTATATACCTATTGCCTCAACATTCCAACATTGTGTAGACTCACGCCCAACAGGAAGTCTAGTAGTTTCATCTTCTTGTGGAACTTCAGAAGTTGATACATGAGAAAGTGGGACATTAATAGTTGGGACTTCAAGAGCTTGTGAGGAATCACTTGGTGTGGAAAGAATTTCAGGATTCATTATTGGAACAGAATGTGTTAGAGCTTGTGTCAAAGGTGCATCACATTGTGGTTGAGGTGCTGATTTTTGTGGATTTCTAAAACGCTTCAACTTTGGCATGACTACATCAAGAGAAAAATAAATACAGAACAATTAAATTAAATATTATATACTATCAAAATTAAAAACAAGTTTAAAATAATCAATAAATGAAATAATCATAGCATTTACAAGTCAAATTATTACATTTAAAGAAGTGCAAAAGTAAATAAATATAGTCAAACAAGTGTGAATTTCTTGCTATTTTAGGAGTCAAACTTCAATCAACTATATTATCATTTAGATGGTTTGTAGCCAATTGTACATATTGATCATCAAGCCTAGAAAATTATTCAAGCTCTTGCTCTTGGTATGGCTCATTTTCATATGCATTTTCTTCTACTTCTTCTCCCATGTCATATAAATCTCTTGGCTTCATATGTACAACCACACTCCATCCTTTATTGACTACATCATCTACATAGTACACCATTTGTGCTTGAGATGCTTCAATGTATGGTTCATGTTCTTCATGATCGCCAACATGAATCAATCTATCAAAGTTAACACAATTAAAATTCCAACAGTCCTTTTTATACCTTCTATCTCGTGTAGTATCAGCCCATTTACATTTGAAAAGGATAACACTGAATTGACCATTGTAGTTAATCTCAATGATATCTTCCAACTTCCCATAATATGGTAAGTCTGCTTGCCTTAAGTTGCCATCAACGCTACTTGAAACACATGATGTGTTAGATGTTAAAAAAATACCACTATTTTGTGTTTTTAATCCATCTTCGCGAGCCAAGGTTCGAAATTTGAACCCATTAATGTTATATGCAGTAAATCTTCTTGAATTATCCAAAGGTCCTCGTGCTAGAAACTTTAGATCAGTAGACATTTTACTCATTGTGTCTGGATTCATAATCTAGAAAAATTGGAAGTCAAAGTTTAAAACAAATATGGTAAAAAAAGATATCTAACCACTAAATGACTATTCACCCGCTTTCTAAACCAATCAACAAACTCTTTATTGACTTTCTTCTCTATCTCCGTAGACGAAGGTCTTCTTCCTCTTGAACTCCTTTTTATGAATTGTATAAATTCACTACATAAATAATTATTATTATCAATGCACATGGCTATAATATTTTAAGTAGACTAATAATAATAAGTTTATCTCCTTTTACTCATTCTACAAATGGTGTGACTATTGTGCAATTGAGGAGCACATACCGATGAGCTTGCAATTTTTTCATTGGAGTTAAAGTGAACATTGAGCAAACTCCTACTAGTTTACCAATTTGTGGGAAGATAGAAGACATAAAAGAAGTATCATTATCAATTGGATCATCACAAACACGTTTAGGTTTATTGAACCTTGTCTCAATATCTTCAATGTACCGAGAACAAAAGGTAAGGGACTCTTCAACTAAATACCCCTCAGCTATGGATCCTTCAAGTTGTGCCTTATTTCGCACAAAAGATTTTAAGTGACCTAATTCCCTACATAAATGATTAACAATTAGAGAGCACTAGTAAGAAATTTGTAATATGACATCATAAATTTCAGCTATTAAAATGTTTACCTCTCCACTGGATACATATATCGATAATGCATTGGGCCTCCAAGTTTTGCTTCCTCTAAGAGATGAACAGTTAAATGAACCATAACTGTGAAAAAGACAGAGGGAATAACATTTCTAAGTGGCATAGTGTAACCACAATGCGATCTTGGAGCAATTGAAGTTCTGGAAGATTTAAGCCTTTACCACAAAGTGTTCTAAAAAAAGAACAAAACTCCACTAAGATAGAAGTCACATGGTCTGGCAACAAGTTACTAATTGCTAGTGGTAGCAATTGTTCCATAATAATATGGCAATCGTGACTTTTCAACCCAGATATTTTGTTAAGTTTCTCATCAATACATCTAGAAATGTTACTTGAGTAACCATCTGGTACTGTAATAGTCTTCAAAGTTTCCAAAAATAACTTTTTGGTATCCTGGGTCAGTGAAAACAAAGAAAGGTGATATCTTCCGTTATCATTTGGCCAAAGATCATGCCTTAAGCCCATTTCTTTTAAATCTTTTCGAGCATTAAGGATGCCTTTTGATTTATCCTTCTCATGGAGCAATGTATACATCACATTGTCACATACATTTTTCTCAATATGCATAAAATCTAGATTACGTCGCAAAAAATTAGACTCCCAATATGGAAGTTGAAAGAATATGCTTTTTTTATTCCACTGTGCGGGTTCTTGTCTAGATCTTTTTATTGTTCCATTTTGAATGGCTCCACTTTCAAATGTAATATTAATATGTTCCACTTGTCGAAAAATGTCAGATCCAGATAATTTTAATGGTGGGTTTCGTTCTTCTGTGTTTCTATTAAAACGAACACGATTTAATCTAAATTTATGATTTTTGCTCAAAAAAAGACAGTGACCCATAAAACACCATTTTTTACAATTTTGAAGGCGACAAGGTTCCGCATCAAAATTGCAAGTCGGGCAAGCCAATCTTGTGTGTGTGTTCCAACCAGATAACATGCCTAAGCCAGGAAAGTCACTAATTGTCCATATAAGAGCTGCTCGCATTCTAAAATTTTCATTCAATGATTAGTCGTAGGTATCCACACCATTCCATAACTCACGTAACTACTCTACAAGGGGCTGTAGGTACACATCTATGTTATTTCCAGGACCTTGCTTTCCTGGAATGATCAATGATAGGATGAATGAAGTGTGACTCATACATATTCAAGGTGGAAGCCATCAGTAGCAAGGCCTAAGCGAACATTCCAAGGATCTAAAGAAAACTCAGGATGGATTAAATCAAAAGTCTTCCATGCCTCTCCATCTCTTGGATGCCTCATCAACCCATCTTTATTATTTTCCAAAACATGCCATCTCATATCTTTTGCAGCCTTACAACATGTGAATAATCTTTGCAATCTTGGTTTCAATGGAAAGTAACGTAAAACCTTTGCGGCTAATTTCTTCTTCTTCTTGGGTTTCCATCTAGATGTACCATAATGCTTACAAGCATCCAAACTTTTTTCATCATCTCCCAAATACAACATGCAGTGTTTTGGACAAGCATAAATTTTTTATAGTTAAGACCAAGCTTGTTAATAATTTTCTTGGCTTCATAAATAGAAGGAGGAAACTTTGCTTCTTCAAATGCGTCTTTCAATAAATCCAATATCATAGTCATTGCCTTGTCACTTAATCCACACAAAACTTTTATATGATATAATTTGATTATAAATTCCAATTTGGTGTATTTACTTCCTTCATACAATGTTTGACTACCATCATTTAGAAGCTCATAAAAGCCATTATAATCCCTCCTTGACTCATCATTTAATATTTCATTTTCATTTAATGGTCGTGATGTACCTATATTAGAGGCATGTTGCCTATATTGTTCAAATGCGTTATTCATCATCATTTCCATTAGATTTTGAGGTTGAACACCACTATCTTGGAAAACATCTTCCATTTGAGAAGATTCTAATGCTTCCTTTTCACCATGGAGATCCCATATAACATAGTTTTGAGGAAATGGTTTATAAAGTAAGTGATCCTCAACTATGTCTCTAGTTTTCCATTTCATAAACCCACATTTTGGACACGCGCATCGAATCATATCTCCTACAGCTCCATTCTTAAAAGCAAAATCTAAGAATTTATTCAAACCAATGGAATAATCAATTGAATTTCGAGGCTTTGAAATCCATGACTTATCCATTATTAAGGATACCTAAACAATTTTATAAGAATAATTTTATCAAGCTATGCTAATATAAAATAGTATAGTATGCATAAAATAAAGCAAGACCTCCACAAAATTATAATATAAATTATATAAAAGAAATAATAATTATTATTCAAACTAAAAATAATAATGAGTGGAAGGAGAAACATAACCTAAGATTCAATACTAGCTTTTATGTTACAACTACTACCATGTGAAAAAATAATAATTAGACATTTTGAATAAGAAATAATGGAACCAACAAAAAGTTACCTCTAAGAACCAATGGAGACAGCAGTGTACCAGAAATGCAACAATATAAGTCTAAAAATAGAATAGAGCTGCCAACCAAAAACCAAGGGTATAATTAGAACCAAATGAATTTAAAAAAAAAATATAAATAAGCATTGATCTTCAATATCAAAATAGAGCAAGTTTAATACCTTGTCTAAGAAATAGAATAATATAGTTTTATTAGGATGACAAGTATATTAACATTTACAATGTTATAATTAAAGAGAAAATATGATCATGTTACATGACTTATTTGTGTTAGTTTTTTTTTAATATTTCTAAAATATATTAAATATATCCTAAAATCAAAATTTTAAAATGAGATTTATTTAAGTTTTTAGCATTCATTGAAGCATCCACTTAGTACTAATAACTAGTTTAAAATATGCAAACAGTTAATTAGTTTGAAATACACATACTTAAAAATGTGTATTTGTATAGTATCCATTTTATTTGGATTGGTGGACTTTTGGGGTGTTCTTGTATGAAATGTGTATTTGTATAGTATCCACAATTGTCCTAATGTGATTCTCATGAAAGGTTATAAGTCATG